GGTCTCACTCTGTTGCCCCGGCTGGAGTGCACTGGTGCCATCATAGCTCGAACTCCTGAGCTCAGGCAACCCTTCTGCCTCAGCTTCCTGAGTAGCTGGGACTACAGGTGTGTGCTAACACATTCAGCCAATGTTTTTATTTTTATTTTTTTTAGAGACAGGATCTCGCTATGTTTACCCAGGCTGGTCTCAAACTCCAGGCCTCAAGTGATCCTCCCACCTCAGCCTCCCAAGGTGCTGGAATTATAGGCATGAGCCACCATGTGTGGCCCTGTTTCTACTCTTTAAGGTATAAAGACGGATTTTAAAAGTCCCTGTCCTTGAAAAAATGCATATGGAAGGAGGAAGAAGGCAAAGTAGATGTTCCTAAGCCAAAATGAATTGGAAGCATTCTATCACATAAGGATATTCAAGAATGGCACCAGATTTAGAATAGGTTCACAGCAACTGCCAAAACACATGAGTAATACCAGTAAACTATTAGAATAAATTTCCATGACAACAGAAATAATGATCCCAGATCATCTTTACAGAGAGGCAGCCAAGTCCATTCCCCACAGAGATGGCATATGCTAAGGGCTGGAATCCCTCTCAGGCTTTGAAAACTAACCTTGGCTGTCACGGGTAGCATTATTCACTCTCCCATTCGGCATAAATGTGCCTTCTTTTTGCCAAGCATTCCCATCGCTCCTGCCTATGCCAGACTTAGACACAGAGCTGGTGGTACTGTTTCCCTGTATAAAATTTAAGATACATCAAATGGAAAAAATGCACCCAGGTAAGAATTTGGAATATACCACTACAGTTGTCTTACTCTAGAAAAGACTCATCAAACTTAGAAGTGTGCCATCTTAACCTTCAATGAAAAAATAAATAAATAAACCACTGAAATCTAGCAAACTAGTTTTCCTGAATGTTTTTCTCATCTTAACGCAAAAAATAAAAAATCTCCCTTTGTCAAGAAAAAAATTTCATATACACTGTTTTATAACTAGAATAATCTAAAGAATGCTTTCACAAGGTAAATTTTGCATAGCTCAGTCATGGAAAGAATAGAGCACCCGGGTGGTAATGGCAAATACAATAACTTTCTCAGGTTAAAAAAAAAAACAAAAACTTAATTATATATTAATTAACAGAATGACATGATTGCTTCTTACATAGTCCTTGTCACCCATTTGTTCTTCAAAACTCAAATGTGTGCTAATCCTTCCTGAGGAACAGAGTTCTAATTTCAGTGCTATTCATTTCATCACCAGAATGGTCACATCACAACAGATAGATTACAGATGGATGATCACTTGTCCACTTTAGTCTGCTGAGTTTCTCCAGGTAAGGCTTTTAGTATCACTACTAGTACCAAACTCTAAGTCATTACTAATCACCACCTTGGCTATTCCATAATTCTGGCATTGAAAACATTCAAAAAGCAGCAAAAGGGAATTAATTCCCAAGAACAATACAAGAAGTACAGTCATCCCTCAGTATCCATGGGGGATTGGCTCCAGGACATGGCCCTCCATACCAAAATCCACAGATGCTCAAGTCTCTTATATAAAATGCGGTAGTATTTCCATATAACCTGCACACACCCTCCCGTATGCTTTAAATCATATCTAAATTACTTTTAATACCTAATATAATGTAAATGCTATGTAAATAGTTGTTATACAATATTTTTTTTATTTGTATCATTTCTATTGTTGTATTGTTACAAACTGTGCATTTTATTCAATGAAATTGGATTAGAGTGCCCCATTCCTGCTGCTGATGTTCTTCTCTTGGAAACTGTGAAAGAAACTCTACTATGCTATTTTTTGAAATGTCAAAAAAGTACTCATGGGCCGGGCGCAGTGGCTCACGCCTGTAATCCTAGCTCTCTGGGAGGCCGAGGCGGGCGGATTGTTTGAGCTCAGGAGTTCGAAACCAGCCTGAGCAAGAGCGAGACCCCGTCTCTACTAAAAAATAGAAAGAAATTAATTGGACAACTAAAAATATATATAGAAAAAATTAGCCGGGCATGGTGGCGCATGCCTGTAGTCCCAGCTACTCGGGAGGCTGAGACAGGAGGATCGCTTGAGCCCAGGAGTTTGAGGTTGCTGTGAGCTAGGCTGACGCCACGGCACTCACTCTAGCCTGGGCAACAGAGTGAGACTCTGTCTCAAAAAAAAAAAAAAAAAAAAAAAAAGTACTCATGGCCTCTATGGATTCAGCACTATTTTAAATAATACAGAAAACAGGGGAAAAAAAAACTTTCCATCATGATCTCTGACCTTACAGTCTCACTGACGAGGTTTTTCACTCATTCCCTCAACAAACAGATGTCTTGGTACTCACTATGTGCCAGGCAGTGGTAGTTACTAAAAACACAAATACAAAGATATTTGTCTGCTGGGAAGTCACAATCTAATGACAGACCCAGAAACATCATATGATTAATAGGAGAGCACAGCAGTGATTTTACAGAGACCTGGGCAAAGTGCTGCAGGGACTAGCACCCAAGAGACAATGGGATTAAATTCTGTGGGACAAATAATAAGTCCTTTAACAGTTCAAATCCTTACAAGTGTCACCAATTCCCACAGAGAGGAGCATGTTTTCCTTCCATGCAGGGATTTAGGCCATGGCTACATGACCATCTGTCAGAGATGCTGGAGGTGGGGACTCCCCTCAAGTGACAGGCTGGATTAAGTGTCCTTTAAAGCCCCTTCCAACTCTAAAATTGTATAATTCCATGAGATCAGCAAAGGCTAAAACAGTAATAGGAAGCTTCAGAAAGGAAGGGAAACTTGAACTAAGTCCAAAATGATAGCTAGGACCTAAATAAACAGAAGACAGAACAGATGATACTTTGTTTTATTCCTTTTCACTAAATGTATGCCAGGTCAGTCTGCAAAGCTTAACGGGGTTAAAAAATTGCAACAAATAGTAAGATTTCTATCTATACTAAATACCGGCAAATACAGTCAGAATTCTATATTTCACTAAAAAACATTAGCAGCAGGCTTTTCTGAATCACCATATTTAAGGAAATCATTTTCATGAAACATTAACAATACCATTTAAAATACTGACAGCCCTACTGCATTATACTCCCAATAATCACACAATTATACTTGTAATGAAACATAGAGCATGCCAGAAGACCTGGCATGAGTTTACACCGTTATTTGGTAAGGAACTTAAACAGTCTGGCCCTGAAACTTACATAATTTGGCTATGTTTCTCATTGGCTTTAAACGAACTTAACACTATGATTTTCTACTTCAAGTAAGTCTCTGCCTTTTTCTGGCCCCTTCGCTATCCTAACACTGGTGCTCACACTTCTTACTCAAGGCATCTTCACTTTACAAAACCAAGATGTACACGGGAGCCCCAGGCATGACAAATTAGCTATGAAGCATTAGAAAGCCAAGAACTGAAATGTCTTTTAAAGATTCCCCTATATTCATAGGAGTACACAATTCCTTGACGATATTTCATGTCCACCAGCTCACTAAATTCATTAAGACATTAACTCCATGTTGACATTCCAATATCCTCACAGGTTTAAATCAAGGGCTAGCATCTTTCCTGAGTGTTCTCAGTACATCGAAATTGTGATGGGAATTTAGCTAACCATACAAAAGTCAGTGTGTGCTGGGGAAGAACTGAAGGCACGTGCTAGCAAGGTGACAGCCGTGGAGCCAAGATGGCAAGAGAGAGCCACTCCAATTGCTACAAGCTTGGAAACAAGACGCAAGTCAATGAATCTGTGTTAAACAGAAATGCTATTGTTTTAGTGCCATTATCAACATCAGTTATTCAGAAACTATCAGTCCAATTCCTAACTTACCCCTTTTTCTGAGAGGTTCAGAGTAAGCAAATGCAAGGTCCTAGTATGCGAGGACTTCCAGTCTACAGGCATCACGTTTCCATAATTATCTGTCAGGGCGTTCCAAATCCTTAAAAAGAAGAAAACTACAATCAATGAAAGTTCACATGCTATATGTCCTTTTTTAAATAAATACTCAGTGATAGAAGATCACCAAATATCAAACCAAAAAAACATCAACATAGTAGAGTCCCCTAAATAAGAAGTAAAAAGCATATAATTGGGCTGACAAGAAGTCCTGCAGTAAAGTGAAGTGGTATGGAAAACTCTGCCAAAATCAGTAGCTAAAACTTCACTGTGCTATGTCCTAGGCATTATTCTAAGCAGTTTACATATATAAACTCATTTAGTCCTCAAAGACAGCATTAGAAGTAGGAACCATTATATACCCATTTTACAGATGAGGAGACTGAAGCACAGCGAGGTGAAGCAATGTTTCCGGGGCCACACGGTTAGTAAATACATTGTGCATTACACTTATTTTTGTTCTGCAACTTCCACACACACAGACCATTTCAAAAGTGAATTATCTCTCTCTAAGCAAAGGTTTTTTATCCTTTCTGGAGATTCAGTCTCAATGTGCCATCAGGATTTAGTAGCTAATTTGTAATATAAAAGGCTAAAGATTAAGACAGATGAAATGAAAGGGGAGAGAGAGGGAGTTCAATAAAATGCACGAGGTTATATGCAGTTACCCTACCTTACCATCCACAGCGCTACGGGGAGGCAGGAGGGTAAAATGGAAGAGCACTGACTAAGACTGAGGGAACAAACACTTGTCTCTGTTCTTCCTCAAACAACAAATCTTTGGCCAAGTCCCTTAACCTCTCCAGGTAGCAGCTGGCCTTCTATAAAGTGAGAGGCTTGGAGGAGCAGCAGACATTATTTCCAGCTCCATTGCCTGAAGCATTATTTCAAATGAGTTGTACTAAGGGAAGTCTCAAACCACACCAGATAAGAACAGCAAACTCCAATTTCATGACCAAAATTCAGGTCTCAGTACCAAAGTAATAATAAGCATAATAAAACATGACATTTTATGAAATAAATACAAATGAGATGAAATTTAATTGGGGTAAATAAAGTTAAACACTACACATAATGAGCCACTTACTAACTAGCGGTATACACAACCATGTTGTAAAGAAAAACAAATCCTAAAATTTATAACAAGTATTTAATCATGCATAAGCCATTCAATGATTGGGTAGGCTTTTTTTCCAACTGTGTAGGCCACTAGGATACCAAAACAATCGTAGTAGGGGCATAAACATATGAATGATAATTTAAAAACAGAGAAGCAGCATACTTGATTTAATGAATAGAGACTTGGTGCTAAAGAGAAGCACCAGGACTGCAACTGCCAAAAGCAAAACATTCCAAATGATGTCTGGCCTTAAAATGTGCACTAGTTTCAATGAAAATGTGAATCCCAAAAGCTGTAGAAGACTGGGTTGTTTACCCAGCAACTCTCCCACATGCATGGTTCATTCTGCTGGAATCCTACCTCCTCTAATGCCAATGAGGTGAAATTAGAGGCAATGCCTGTGGACTGCTAAACTTGCTGGGCTTCTAGCCCATACTTTCCTGGGTAAAAAATTTTCAAATACTGAATAACTGACTATATCCCTAACCTTGGTCAGGGACTTGAGTAGGATATTCTAGGAGGTGAAGACAGTCCAGAGTTTGGGGAGTTTGTTTTGTCCACGTGTTTGCTCCTTCTTAAATGAGGCTATAAGAAAAGGACAAGTGGAGTGGACTACTTCACCTAGAAGAAGTAACTTCAGGTGAGTTTGATCTTTCAAGAAAATGAAGGTTAATTAATAGTCCTCTATCTCACCGAGTTCAGAACAATTGTAGTTGGAAGGACGTAGGCCCAATTTTAATGAAAGATTTCTAGAACTCTCCAGTGAAGGCATATGAACTGCTTTCATCTTTATCATAAAGTACTACAAGTCATAAACAACCAGCAGGACAGCTCCTTTGTAAGGAGGTCAAAGTCCTGCTGCCATTGAATCCTGTGTAATACCATTCTAAAGTAAAACCTCAGTAGATAAATACAATCCATATTTAACCAAAACTAAATCTGAGTGTGAGGCTCAGAGAAGTTAAATAAAGTGCCCTAAGGGAAGGTAATGTCTGAATGAAAAAATTCCCAACTGTCTTTAGTGAAAGGAGCTGGAATGGACCCTATCAAGCAATAGAGAGGGACAATGACAGTGATCACCAGCCCCCAGCTCCTGAAAAGAGATTTCTTATGCATTCCCAAATCAAGAGATACGCATTATCACTAACATATAATCTACTAAAAGCGATTATCAAGAGTAACAAAATATTTGTTTAAGCAAAGACTAAAATAAACTACTTTCCACAAAGTCCAGGCAAAGCATAAACAGGGACCCATAACTATCTATGTACAATCTACTAATGTGTTTTAAGTTACTTTTTTTTTTTTTTAAGAGACTGCATGATCATACCTCACTCACGGCAGCCTCAAACTCCTGGGCTCCAGGGATCCTCAACCTTCCAAGCAGCTGGGACTACAGGTGTGGCTTGCCCAGCTAATTTTGTTTCATTAGAGATGGGGGTTTCACTGTGTTGCCCAGGCTGGTCTCGAACTACTGACCTCAATTGATCCTCCTGCCTCAGCTTCCCACGTAACTAGGACTACAGACATGTGCCCCCATACCTGGCAGTAAGTTACTCTTGATACATCCAAATACATAATAAATATACAGTAATTTTTAAATCCAGAATGTGTCCTGAGTTTTAGTGATTCAGAGTATATAAATCTAAATATACCTAAGCTCACCTTCTCTTTGGGAAAAGACTTTCAAAAATGTCATCTTTTGCTATTGACTGTATGCATATGTGTATATAAAATCCAGTTATAAACTTTTCCCTTCTCTACACCTGGGCAGAACACTGTACAGAGGGACCAATAAAAAGAGGTGGCCTCCAACACAGTCCAGCCTGCCCCTGCTCAGCCACCTTTACAGACCCCCATTCCCAACCCCCTCTTTTCAAGCTTCCTATCTTATTCCTGAGGGAGGTGATTCACAAAGGAAAGGAGACCACCAGGCTGGAGCCCTTTTCTATGTCCATGGCTCCTTTGCTATCTCTCGAGAATTCTTCCCTGACCTAGTCTCAGCATCCCATCAACACCCTGAGAACCCACCCATTCCTTCCCTCGTCCTCAGTGTGTACTCCACTCATTTTACCTTCGGCCTCTCCAGGGGCTCCTCTCCCCTCGCACACACAACGTGCTCAAGTCCCCTCACTCCCACCATTCCTTTTTACCATCTTTTGGGATAAAACCGTGGTATGAAATTATAGCCCTTACTTTACTAAATTATAATTGGGACTCAGAGTGGTTAAAAAAGCGCCCTCCCCTCCTCCAGTTCTCCTAAATCCCTGTGAATTTTCAATCATTGTATTTAGGTGATTCTACAATTATCACTTGTTTATGCACTGCTATGCACCAAGGTATGAAATCCTTGCCATGAATGACCAGAGCCTTTCGATTTTGCCTCTGTGATGGCTTGCACTCCACCTGGCCTCTCAGGCCCCACAGATTCCTGTGCCATAAATGCTGCCTTGCACGTTGATGCCTTTGCGCATGCTATATCCTCGGCCTAGAATGCTAGACCTTTCTTCCCCTGCCAGGCAAACTCCCACTCATCCATCAGGATCCAGTTTGCACATTTCTTTCTCCATGAAGTCTTTTCTGACTCTCCCCCAGGTACGCCCTATTAAATCTCCCATATTTGGCACATATATCCATCAGAACACTTATTACACCCATATAAATATTTTGTTTACAAATCTATCTGCCATCCTACGTTGTGCCCTCCTTGACAGGGGCAATGTCCCGGCATTTTGGTATTCCCAGCGCGAAGCAGCACCTGACACTTAGCAGTCGCTTGATAATTATGCGAGCTGAATGAATCAAAGGCCACACACGTGCGCCAGGAGGTACCGTCTCTAACTACGTGCTCTGCACGGGAGATTCCCCTCTAAACCCAGCGAAGGTTTGGTTTCGAGGCAGGAGGAGACAGGAGGGGCAGCGGCGGGGGTTTAAGGGAGCGCGGCGGCCGGGAGAGCGGGGGATTTGACGCGCGGAGCGTGCAGAGGCCGACAGCCCGGCGGAGGCGGCGGGAGCTGGAGGGCGGGACTCCCGCGTCCAAGGAGGCGGAAGGAGGACGCAGGAGGAGCCTGCGGCCGGAGTCCAGCCAAGGCTGCCGACAAGGGCCGGCGGGCAGGGCGAGGGGCAGAGGAGGCGCCCGCCCGCCCGCCCGCCCCCGGCGGGGCCCGCACTCACTCGTCCCCCTGCAGGAGGCTGCGCTCGGTGATGGGCCGCACGGCCGCCCGCGGGGGCTCGGCGCCCGGACCCGGGGGGCGGAAACATAGGCTCAGCTTCTCCTCCAAGCTGCAGGCCAGCGCCGGGAAGCCGTCGCCGCCCCCGCACGCCCCGGCCCCGGCCTCGGGGCTCGCGTTACAGTTTTCCTGGTCCTGGAGGCTCCGGGCCGGCTCCTGGAACTCATAGAAATCCTGCCAGTCCCCGTCCGCCGCCATCGCCGCCGGGTGCAGCCGCGCGCCCCGCCCCGGCCGGCCCAGCCCGACCGAGCCCCGCCCCTGGCCCCGCCCCTCCGGGAGCCCCGCCCCGCCCGCTGGCCGGCGGGCTGTCCCCGGCCCTCCAGCCCAGGGTCTTCCCCTTTCCTAAGTCTGCCTGGAGTTGACCGCGGGTGCACACACAGGGAGGAAGACCTTAACTGCGTTGAGTCACTTCCTATATTTACTATCATTTAGGAATAACTTCCCTCTTAGCTTCCTTTACTGTTAATAGAAACCTGGCCTAAATGTGGCTAAAATAAAGAACTTCTTTAAACTTGCCACGCATGTAGCGTCAGATTGTGCTCCAAGTCTTTTCCCCAGGTAACCTACTCCTTTTGTAACTTTACAACTGAAATGACAGCCAGAGTCACTGGGAAATGTTTAAGTGGTACCGAAATTCATTCCACAAATATTTTCTGTCTCCCAAGTGAAACTACGTGCTAGATTCTGAGAAATATACAAAGATGAATAATTATGTGAGTTAATATTTGCAAAGCACTTAGCACAATGCCTGACAGTAGATACCCATGTGTATGTTATATCACTAATATTAATACATGGGTGCTTCCTACAAGGAGCTTACAATGTAGTTGGAGTGATAAGACTAGCAGGAAATCGTTTATACCTTATAAAAAGTGTGATTGGGGAATAGGAAGTTATTGTTTAATGGGTATAGTTTCAGTTTTGCAAAATGAAAAGAGTTCTAGAGATGGATGGTGGTAATGGTTGCGTAACAGTGTGAATGCACTTAATGCCACTGAACTGTACACTTAAAAACGGTTAAGATGGCAATTTTTTGTTAATTGTTCTTATTGTGGTAAAATTCACATGGGAGAAAAAGTAAATATTAGCATAAGAAAATGTGAATATGCAGAGGCAATAAATGCTCAGGAGTTGATAGAATTGCAGTAATTAAATACTTCATTTAGAAGACGGGATGTAGTTGTGATGAAAGATGAGCTCTTAGTTTGAAAAATAAATCTGAAGTTAGTAATAGAAATAACTTTTTTCCCCCGGTAAGCTTTGTCCATTTCTTGACAGCATGGAAATTCATCTTCAAGAATACGTGTTAATAGCAAAATTGTCTTGTTTACTATTTTAATAAATGTTGTGTTCACTTCAGTGATTTGTCCCATATTAAACAAAATGCTTCTATGATTGAGTTTAAGAAACTGTTGATCATAAATCAAGGAAAATGTTCCCCATTTCCTTCAAAATCATAAAGGGAGTGGATGTTAGCTCTTCTTAGCCAAGAGCCAGAACTAATTAGTAAACAGTAGCTTTTGAATTGATGAGAAAACATTCTGACTCAGCAGATATTTGCCTATCTGAACGTTACTCAAAAGTGATGCTCTAAAAGTTTCAAAGAGCTATTTTTCTCTAGGTAGTTGACTACACACATAAAGTTAAACTATTGAGTTTGCTCAGATTCTCCAAGTTATGTACATAGCTAATGCAAATTTTTTTCTTGACTCATGTCTCCATTTACCGATATGTTGTGTTTATGTGTGAGTGAAAATGAAAACTACTTACTCTTAGAACCCAAATGTAGCACTATCAAAATTTTCATATGCGAATGCTCAACATCTCTAATCATCAGGGAAATGCAAATCAAAACCACAATGAGATATCACTTATCTCCAGTGAGAATGGCCTTTATCAAAAAGTCACAAAATAATAAATGTTGGCGTGGATGTGGAGAGATGGGAACACTCATACACTGTTGGTGGGATTGCAAACTAGTGCAACCTCTGTGGAAAGCAATATGGAGATACCTTAAAGAGATACAAGTAGAATTATCATTTGATCCAGCAATCCCATTACTACCCAAAAGAACAAAAGACGTTCTATAAAAAAGACATCTGCACTCCAAATGTTTATAGCGGCAGAATTCACAATTGCAAAGATGTGGAAACAACCCAAGTGCCCATCAATACATGAGTGGATTAATAAAATGTGGCATATGTATACCATGGAGTACTATTCAGCTATAAGAAACAGTGGTGATCTAGCACCTCTCATATTTTCCTGGATGGAGCTGGAACCCATTCTACTAAGTGAAGTATCCCAAGAATGGAAAAATAAGCACCACATGTACTCACCATCAAATTGGTTTCACTGATCAACACCTAAGTGCACATATAAGAATAACATTTATCGGGCATCGGGCAGATGGGAGGGGGAAGGAGGGGATGGGTAGATACAAACATAATGAGTGCAATGCGCACCATCTGGGGGATGGACATGCTTGAAGCTCTGCCTGGGGGCGCGGTGAGGCAAGGGCAATGTAACCTAAACATTTGTACCCCCATAATATGCAGAAATAAAAAAAAAAGTTTAAACAAGTAATAATAAAACAGTGGAAACAAAAAAAAGAGGCCTAATCCAAAAATAAAATAATTAAAAGCCTAAAAAAAAAATTTTTTTTTCATGTGCTTTTTTTTGGTAGAATGACTAGGCTGTATTAACCTCTTATTTTCACTTGAAAATCATCTGCTTTCAATTAGAATTGCTTTGACTTAGCTCCAGTGGTCTCAGAATTTTATTCTAGTGAAAGTTTCCACACAGGATGCTTTTTACTTTTAATTAAATGCAAATTACTTGTTATCACCCTAGACACTTTGAATATCCCATTGGGAAAACAAGATTAAAATCACTTTTGTTAGTCAATTGATGTTTGCACACCCTTAGTAACCTTGGCACTCGGCACAAGCTATAAAAATACTCCAAAGAGAAGTGTCTGTGAGAAAACACTACATCTATGGTTTTACCACTTTATGGGGACAAAGCGATGAGATTAGAAACTATAGGATGGAATAAAATGCTAATTGGTGTTTTTGTAGATTTTAAACAGTTACTGTAAACACAAAAGAGTAACAGCAGAAGACAGCTTAAGTGGTGGAATGTTTGTAACCAGGTAAAATTATAAAGTAGCAATGTTTCTCTTCAATGCCTTTCACCACTTTTCTCCCCAGATGGTACCTGGGGACTTCAGGTTGCTCCACAGCCTCCCAGAACATCCTATGGGAGGTCATGTTCCACCCAGGTTGTGGACCCATACCCTTATGCCCACCCTTTCCTTTAGCTCCTTTGCATACTTGACCTTTTTTTTTTTTTTTTAAAGAGAATCCAGCTCCAAGTTACTATTCCCTAAACCCCTTCACTTCATATTTACTGACAGCAACCTCAGTCCCTTTTCCAGCAACTCTCCATAAGCCAAATTCTACCTTCCTACACTGCCAAAAATCTGGCAAAACCACAGGCTTCCTGACAGCCTCATCTGTTTAAAACAGTCCATCAATACCAAAGGCTTCCAATTAAGATGTTCTTTCACTTCGTTTTATCTCACATACCCTAATTCTACTAATTTGTCCACCCAAATCTATTTATTTTGGACCTTTTATTTCTTACCAACTCCTAGAGGCCATAAGAAAATGAACATGTATAAACATGTTTGCTCACTTGATATATTAAGAAAAGTTAGCCTGTAGAATTTTCAGCATTTGATTCAAAATTAGAAAGGGAATATAGAGTAATGTTAAAAGAGAGTTTCATAGCACTTGAGCATTACGTTCCAAGTAATCATGTAAGATGGAAAATGTTATTTCTCTGGTTTGACAATGTATTTCAATTTTACACATACACTATCACAGTAGAAATTTAAATAACAAAATTCGGAAAAGTAGATTATTCAACATATAGGCCACCTGTCTTAGTCTGTTTTGTGTTGCTAAAACAGAATACCATAGACTGAGTGATTTACAACAAAAAGAAATTTGTTTCTCACAGTTCTGAAGGCTGGGAAGTCATCGAGATGCTGGCATCTGGTCAGACCTTCGTGCTGTGTCACCCCATGGTCTGAAGGCAGAAGGGCAGGGGAGTGAGAGAGCAGAAGACAGGAAGGAAGCCAAACTCATCCTTTTATCAGGAATGTATTCCTGCCATAAGTAACACGCTCCTGAGATAATATTATTTATTCTGTGTAGCGCCCCTGTGATCTAATCACCTCTTAAAAGTCCCACCTTTCAACACTGTTGCATTGGGGATGAAGTTTCTGACACAAACTTTGGGGGACACATTCAAACCATAGTACCGCCTAAGGATATAATCAGTCAGAAAATACAAGAACTGCAAAAGGAAGAAATAAACTGTTGGATACAAGACCAGAAAACATCTGGTTGTCAAAGTATCATATTTAGCAAATGCTAGAGATAAAAGTAAGATAAGGAGAAGGTAGATAAATGGAAATTTCTTGAGAAAAACTAAGCTAATTGCTAAGTCTATTCAATAACTAGAAGGAAAAAAATGAGCTGATGAAACAAAAGTAAAAAGGATTTAGAAATCTATATGTTGGCTCAAGAATTTAAGGTAGATTGCTTGCTTGACAAAAAGGAAAAGGTAACTTCTCCCCATTTTTTCTCCAGTAAAAATAAATAAATTAAGAAATTCTGGAGTCATCAAAGACCACAATCTAGCATTTCTTAATAGAGAATATTTCATTCCAGTTATTCAAGTTTGCTAGGGATAAATCTTTAGTGAGCAGCCACATCTTCCATTTTAATGATTAAGTTGGAGTCTTGATCAAGGTGATTGGCCATGGCTGCACCTTTACAAGGTGCGAAAATAGCTGAATAGGGAAGATACTGCCAAGTACGTGCCAGGTTGTGTGCGGGGTAACCAAATGCAGGACTACAGAAAGTAAGTGGAAACAACATTGACAGTAGCTATTTATCTGACAATCTTTCATCATCCCTCCTATTTTTGCCTCTTGATTAAATCTGCATTTTATACAATTATGTAAATTAACTTCACTGAAAAGAAATACAGAATTAGTAAAATAAACTATGGCACTGGTGGACTTGAGTTTCAGAAAGGCATTTAAGGCAGTAATTTGAGAAGAAGAAGAAAAAAAAATTAACGGAGATGAGAAATCTCACTCTGGCCAGTATAGGTGGAAAAAAAAAAAGAAGAAAAGAGAAAAAGTTGTCAACCTTCGAGAAAACATAGTTA